AACATACTATATTTTCCTACTAGACTGGAGCTAATAGTGGGCAGATATGGCCCCTGAACCAGATTATAAATATACAAGACTTATTCTTTCTGTGCTTCACAGCCAGTGGATCAAGGCCAGCACTATCAGAAAGAAATGAACCCTCTTCTTCACTCTAATCCCAGGTACGAGAAAAACAATAGTTTTAGCCTCTCTATGTCTGTATGGTATAACTTTAAGTCATTATGCTAAGCTTGTCAGTGTCTTAAGTGTTGAGGCTCATTTCAGAGTCATTTCAGAACTTTATCATGCGAGTTCATAAGAGAACTCTTGTCAGCCCTCAGGCTCATGCACGTTCAATAATTTGGACTTCTGAGAAGTGGTAACAAAATGTGATAGGGATAGCTTTTTGGGCACTGAACATTTTGAAGTTTCCATTGACAATTTTATTCAGTTGTTCCAGGATACGAAAAAGAACGTTTGAACATCAAAGCATAAAAAAAGAGAACAGGTGGTGTGCTCCACAAAATTATATCAGCCTTCAAAAGATTTAGCTGCCATTCATTTCATGACAAAACTGCCAGACTGTCTACATAACAAAGCGCTTCAACTTTTTGTCTCCTTGTTATTTTTCTTAGTTTTTTATATTAAATATAATAATAATAATAATAATGTGTTAATACTCGTATTTATTGTATTAGTAGTAGTATAGAAATATTGTATAAAAACATAAGTTATAACGACCATTTCATATTTATTAATATTTTATTATTATTGTTATTACATTATTATTAAAATATAATCAAATTAATGATTAATAAATGAATGTGTTATAACTATTTTGTTTATATACAATTTATATACTTACTACTACAAATAATGTTCTAATAATTGATAATGATAACAAAAATATAATAATAATAATAATTATTATTATTATTATTAATTAATCTATTTAAAATGTATTATTATTATTATTATAGTATTAGTAATATTTAATGAATTGCATAAACATAATTATTAATTATAACATTATTATTATTATTAGTAGTAGTAGTAGTAGTATTTAAACAATAAAAATAAAGAAGATAAAATAAAGAAAATCTACACTATAACAATTAAACATTGTTTAGGAAGAAAATTATTCTGCATACTGGCTATTTAGAAGTAGACTTTTAAATATAAATTGGCCAATTAAAAATCATTTATAGAACTGTGTTAATAAACGGTGTGTAAATATTTTTTTACACACTATTTACAATCCCAAAGCATAACTATGGCTAGTTTCCTACGCAGAACTTTTCCTGTCAAGGGAAGCTGCCCACACTGCCATGCCTCAGTGATTAATTAAGCATGGTTGTCAGGGACAATGAATAAGCAGGAGTTATGCATGGTGCTCAGAGGCTTGCATGTGTCACCTAGCTGTCACCGCTGCAGCAGAGCTCGCTGGGAGGTCATCATCCACTTCCCTCCCGTCTCACCAGGGAGCCTGTCCGTCAACACCACATGGTGCCTTAAAAGTGTCATGTAAATGAGAGAATATGAAATAGAGAGACATGCAGAAGGGGGGTCTTTCATTCACAACAAGAGGTAACATGTTAGCGACAGAGCAGGAATTTCGAAAATGGGCTTTGATGCAGCTTCGTATGATTCCAAAAGCTTCAGTATAATCAAACTATATATCATAGGTCAAGTCAGAAGAAAGTATATTTTTAGGACCATTAAGAGACCCATGCTCCCAATTTTAAAATAGTGAAAAAGATAATTATACACTACTTTTTCTTTTTTTTTTTTTTTGCTTGTTTGTTTAAATGGTTTAACCCTCTTGTAGAGAATGGATGGATGTCCTCAGCCCTCCGATAGTTCATCCAAATCAACAGACGGCAGATGGGAAAGGAGACCATGGCAAGGTCTCACCCAGAGGTATGACCCCAGAAAAATCCCCATCCTGGGCTCATATTCTCAACCCTTTGTTGCTAAAAATAAATCATGATCTAGATTTCTCTTGGACGGAGAATAACGGGTACAATTACATTCATGATTGATTTTTCCCGCTTCATCTAAAGCCCACAGTGATATTTCTGTGACAATACTCCTAAACCGTTGAGATGGGGGGGGGGGGCAAGTTATAAGGTTTTTCAGGATATTGAGTATTTCTAAAGGCAGGTTTATTTTTGAAAGCCAGTTTCTGTCTTTGTTAGAAAACATATGAACTGTTACTGCCCAGGAAGAAAAGATTTTATGAACAATTTCTACACTATGGGGAAAATTTAATGCAAATCTTCTGTTAAATTGCCTATGAGAAGCTACTGAATGGCTTCTACTGAAATCAGTTTTGAAACCCAAATCAATTAGAATATATATATTCTAACTTTTTTTTTTCTCTATGCAATCCACAGGGTCTGCGTTACACAACAACAGTGGAGAGGAAGAGTTTCTCAATTTAATGTATGATCCCTGCCTCAACTGTTATTTTGATCCACAATCTGGGAAATATTACGAACTGCTCTGATTCCGAGATGAGCTACATCTGCAACCATGTTTTTCAATACTGCCATTTATATGTATGGATTAGTTGAAGCATGTTGTCCTTCATAACATTTAATGGTTTTAATGGAAATTGGGGATTTAAAGTGTATTTTTTGTAACCGTTTCTAATATAATTTTCGTTTTTAGTAATGAAACTACATTCAAGCATGTTTGAGCTCATAACAGATGCTTTCAGTAAGCAAGAAATAAACTCATATAGTTGAAACAATTTTTTTTTTATTATTAGTCCTAATTATTTTATTCAAACTTCCTAGACATTATGTAAAACGAACTAAAATTATAAAATATTTGCAATTGAATTCAACATGTTGTAAACGAATCTCACTTTTTAAAAGTGATCCTACCGTACAATGTTGACGGAAGTCTTGCGTTGCCACACGATCGACCAATCACGCTCCCGTTACTCCTTTACGTCATTTGACAGGTAGCATAACTAGGAAGTAAACCTCTATAATGGCGAGAAAGTCGTTCAAGTTAAGCCACTACTCAAATATGTTACTAAATTTGATTTTAAATAGTATTTTTTATGAGTTTGCCTTCGCCTTTCCGTCATATCGCGAATCCAGACAGTCGGAAAGTTTGGACAGATCCACCTCAACACCAAACAATCAACAGGTTCGTTATCTACTTTCTTGCGTCTGTCACTTCTCTATCAGTTTGCATACTTGCTATCCATGATCTGTTGTTTCGCAGGTTCCAAGACTCCATTTAGGAGTTATCGCATCTGTTGTGATCGTTATTGTGGCTGCAATAGCAGCTGCTGTCTTCATCATACGGAAATACTGCTGTCTGCAGAGGTATATGCAACATGTTTTATTTGACAGTGCAACCTAACCTTACAATCCTGTCAGAGTTGTTGTACGAAAAAATAGGTTGCAATAATTTATACAAAAGTTAATTAATATAAACCGATATTTGTTGCCAAATTTGTACCTATTAACTGACAACTAAATTTAGACTATTTTATTCCAGTAATGTAACATATAGATACTCAGAGCTGCGACAAATGGAAGAGCAAAATGCAGCCAGAGAAGAGGACGATGGTTCAGATGAGGTTAGTATGTGTGGCATTTAAAAAAAATTAGTAGGCTAATAATAGCCTTCAAAACTAAATGTTTAATTACTTTTTATTCTTACTCTGGGTTTTCTTTCCACAGGACCTTTTGGAGTGAATCGTGTAGCACAATTTATCCTTGACGTTTCGCTTTCTTTTTTTTTATACTGTGACATTATATGGCCAAAAGCATCACATGGGTCATTTAAAAACCACCAGGAGTTCCTGAAATATTTATCCCTGTTCCACCATTTGTCAGCACAGATATGTCCACCAACCAGTTAAAATTAGCTGGTTAAATTTGGCAGGATTCAAAGGCTAAAATCTCCTTCATGAAAGCTGTGGGGAAGTGGTTCAGAAATATTAAGATGCCCATTAGAGATAAAAGTTACTATGATTTATTTGCAGGCAAATAACTTGTGAAACGCGCTGTTATGGTTGTCTGTTGTGGTGCCCATTGCTTAAAACTTGGTCAATACTTGGAACTACTTTTTAAAGAAGAACTTAGTATTTTCTTGAATTTCTCAATGCAAGGTACGTTGTACCAAAGTCTGTTGAAGTGATTGTTCCTCTATTTATTGTGCCTGAAAATTTTTTTTTTCTTAAAAAAAAAAAAAAAAACAGCTTTATGATCTCAGGGTTGTTCCCACTGGATACTGTGAACAGTGCCACCAATACCAGAAGCACAGCCGAAATAGAATTTGTCTTATCCACTGTAATGATGCTGCGGACTTTGCATTTCAGTGCCTTACTGAAATCTGTTACTGTATAATTTAACTCTTGTGGTATTTTGAACCATAATCTGCACTCATATGCCGGTATTGGTATTTATAGTGGCAGTGTTTGGCTTCACCTCTATTTTAAGATGAGAATGTTGATACAGAATTATCATGTGCAGTCCAGAGCTCCACAATGGTGTTTTATGAGCTCAGTCCATGATGGGAAGTATTTTTGATTGAATTCTGTATCTTTAGATTTTCATATGTTTGCACCTTCTTTTCTGAGTCTGAACTACTGACTACTTAAAAAAATAAAAAAAAAATAAAAAGTAATTTAACTGAGAAGGAATAAAATTATATACATGAATATTCATTGTATGTTTGATGAATATGCTTACATTTTTTGTCACAGATAGCCACAAGAGGGCAGCACACAACTGTAAAATCATTTTGCATGGAGTAACAATAACCATATCTGTCTAGTTGAGAAGTTAGGTTAGATGAGGTTAGACTTGTTTGAATTTAATGGTGCAAATTTACCACACCTTAAGGTAGAGCCTGCCAGATCAGGTTTCAGGCAGCACCATAGTCCAGAGAACTTTCAAACAGGTAAAAACTCAAAAGTAACCGGGGGAAAAAAGTTTCTTGTGATTCTAGGCAGTTGCATTTTAAATCATTTTATTATATTGCATCAGGCATGAGAATCCCAGAAGATTATTTTGGGCTACCAAAAATGAGACTTAAAGGTAAAGAAAACACTTTTAGCATTTCTGATTAATTTGTGTAACTATTTGTGTGTATAATGAGCATGTATTGTGTTTTTCAGATTGTGTGTATGTTCTCACAACAGTGCTGATCATCTTGATATGGTATTCCTCTATCAACTGGTCAAAACTCCAAGAAGTTGCCAAACAGTCATGTAATGTACATGGTGATCACATATGACAGCTTGTTAATCTGTGACATTATTAAAATCTATTTTTATTACTGTTATATTTTAGTTTGGCTAAGATTGGGGTTGTTTTATATTCCAGATGAAGTTAGTGATTTTGTGACCGACTGTGACAATCGAGGTAAGCTTAATTTTTATGCTTATTTGTAGAGGAGATGGAGTTTAAGAAGTTTATTAGGGTGCAGTACTGTATTTTTTTTCGGGCAACTTTGTTTATTTCTTTGGGCAGGTCTGTTTAAGTCTCATTTTGGTTGCTGTCCACATAAACACTGCCCTGTCAACCACTTCCCCTTCCACCTTCACAGCGGTGTAGCCAATGTGGTGGCTGCAAAAATCTGCTTTAACAATACAATGTAAGAACTGTTACAGCTTCTTCATGACAGACTAACACAGTGGTGATTTTAAATGAATTGTATACAATTGTCATAATTTACTCGCCCATATGACTTGGATCACAACATGAGAATGAGATATTCATCAGAACATTCATGCTTGCAGTGAGATTGCTTGCACATTTCAATATTTTCAAAGAATGGCAACAATAGTGTGCTATTATTTAATAATATTTTCTAAATGCATTTATTAAGTAATTGCTTAGAATCAGTATAAATCTGTTCATTGTGAAAACAATTAAATTTAATCCAACTATGAAAATGGTTTAAATATGGCTATAGCTATGGAACAAGAAAGATTCGTTTTTTTTTTTTAAATGTATCGGATTAAAACCAATCAGATTTATTGATGCTATATATATATATATATATATATATATATATACTGTATTATAAACAATCTGTAGCTTTCCTGTCTTGAATTCTTTCAGTGTAAAAAAATAAATAAAAAATTATGCATTTAGTTGCAATCTGTGACATTAACCTCATTTGAATACTTCTTTTCTGATTTTCTTTCCCGTGGTGATTTAGTCCAAGGACTCCTCGTGACTTTCCTGACACAATCACATTCTAGACAGCAAACAGATTATGAAGGGAAAATGGTTTATCAATAACTTATAGTGATAAAATGCAAGATTAAATTCACAGTCGTCTAAACTTTAAACAGCAGAAGAAAAATACTTTCATACCTCAAAATCAGTATTTTTTTTGAAAACTTCAGCTGAGGTGAAATGATTGTGCTCCTTTTTCACAGGCAGAGAGAGAATCCTGCTGAGCATGTGCAGAATAAGTGTCATCACTCTAGCTGGTTTCTGATTGGAGTAATTGTGTTACAATTGCCCCCGGTCTCCCCTGCACACTAGGTACTATAACCTATACACCAACACCTCATTCAGAATTGATTTAGCCGTAATAATTCTTCTTCTCAGTTTGAGAGAGAGACCGAAGAGCAGAGAGAAAGGTCAAAGTACGCACCCGAGTTCATCAAGGTGAAAGAGAGCCTGAAGAGGACAGCGATCACAAGTGCTATGGAGAAAGAGCTGTAATCACACTGATCTACAGGAGTGTTGATACTCCTCCAGCTGCTGATTTGAACAGTTCTTTCGGTTTTTTTTTTTAGAAAGCTTGGGGGTTTGGATTTTGAATGAAATCACAGATTGTGAAAAACCAATGTTGAGGACAGGAATGTTGGGCTAATGTTATGTCACATGTTAAGCACTTGTAATGGTCTAATAGGATTTCACCTTAATTGCACCAGTGAGAGAAACACACAAGAACAGAATGACTCCAATGTACTGGAACTGTATCTAGTGTTTGAGTATAGAAATGATTGATCTCCCATATTTGTAGATTATATACTTTTATGATCAGACGGCAATCTTTTCCACTTTTATCTTATGTTATATGTAAATCATTTGGTATGTTCAAATATGCAAACTAGTTTCAGATATAGTGTACTAGTGCATTTAACAAAATGTGCAGTACAAAAAGAACTGCATTATGGGAACACTGTATCCCATAATGCAGTTTCAGATTTGATTTTCCATTTAGTTTGACAAATGAACTGGCCCTGTAAATTACAAATTGTAGCATCTCTACATTTCTTGACTTATTTGAGTCGACAGGCAATCATAATTATTTAAAATAACATACATAATGCATAGTTTTCCCTACATACATTTTTTAACAACATTATCACACAATATAATAAAATGATCCTTTACAGATAAGATATTGTTGATTTATACTGTCTGTGTAAGTGGCTTTTTACTTGAAGGAATAGTTTCTTAAACGGATTTGGTGAAATTTAGCATTACATTAATTGCTCACCAGTGGATCCTCTGCAGTGAATGGATGCCGTCAGAATGAGAGTCCAAACAGCTGATAGAAACACCACAATAATCCACAAGACTCCAGTCCATCAATTAACATCTTGTGAAGTGAAAAGCTGCATGTTCTAATAAACAAATCCACCATTGAGGTGTTTTAACTTTAAACAGACTTAAGCCATGTGGATTTCTTGTGGATTATTGTTACTGTTTGGACTCTCATTCTGACGGCACCCATTTACTGCAGAGGATCCATTGATGAGCAAGTGATGCAATGCTAAATTTCTCCAAATATACTCCGACGAAGAAACAAACTCGCCTACATCTTGGATGCCCTGATGGTGAGTACATTTTCAGCCAATTTTAATTTGAGTGAACTGTTCCTTTAAGAGCTTTTCCACGCATGCGATGTTAAAGGTCCCCTGAAATGCTTACTCTGTAGAGTTGACGTCATTTTAACTGAAACAGGAAGACAGGGCGGGACATATCAAGCAGCCCCGCCTCTTTTTACAATAGCCAATAGCGTTCGTTTATATCACAGCTTGGGCTAGAGCCGTTCAGAGAGCGGAATACGCCAAAAGATTCCAAAGAAGAAGCCATTGGGCTCCGTAAAGCCGCATTTGACAGGGTATGCCAGCCATAATCTCATCCATATTGCTATAAAATATAGCATTCTGTGTAGAATTCAAATAGCTCCGATACATTTTGTGGTCTGTGCCGACTCGCGCATATCGTGTCTCTGGACCGGAGCAGAGTGTGCGTGACACAGCGCGAAACCAGACTTCTTTTTTTCCTCAATGGAAAACATATTTACACTGTTTGAATCGTTCCCTGTTCCCTGTCCCCTATATAGTGCACTACGTGCCACTCACTGTACAGAAAATACTAATTCTGTGGACAAGTGACCGATTTCAGCCGCGGCTTCAGCATCTATTTTATAGTGTAGGGGGCGGGTGCTTTGGATTCTAGAGAGCATTTGATTGGACAGAAAGTTTGATGAGAAGCTGAAGTACGATGTGACGTCAAAAAAAATTGTTGAGCTGTTTTGGCGGAAGTGACGAATTGCAAGCTTTGAATGCTTATATCTTCTAAATGCGCATTTTGTCATTGTTTTGGAGCACACTGCCTTATAGATAACCTTAAGACTAACATATTGATACTAACACCCAAAAAAACTTCCATTTTGATTTAATGGGGACTTGGAACATAAATCAGATGATTCTGATCTCACATGTTTCAGCTAACAACACAACTTAGTTTTTTGTAAATGTTTTATACATTTTGTAGTCTTTTAAATAAAGGGGTTTTGACATGTATGACAGTTTAGAGTATATAAATTGAAAGTACCAACCACAGTCTGCCTTTGCATAGCACTCTGATGTGAACTTTATTTGCACTGTACACAAAGATTTTACTGAACACACAATGCATAGACAAGGAGTTTATTCATAACGTTTTACTACCTGTATATTTTAAGGGTACAAATCATTGGCTCTTCATAACTCCATTGATAACACCTGATGCATTGCATCCATACATTTGTAGCTTTTACAAAAAAAGATATACAATATATGTACAGTATACATCATGTTTGTATAATACACATACTGTATTTGTGTCTCTTCACTTCCCGAAGTGTGCGCATTTCCATGTGAAAAAAATGTCAGAATCGATCAAGGGAGGAATTAACTACCCAAAAACAGGGGTGTTACTTCCTATAGTACTTTTCAAAGCCAAAGTAAGTCATAGATGACTCCTAACGATATTTAATCAGCCCTTCTGAGGCAGTTTGCATAATTACCATAATGAACTGCTCATTAGACTGTTGCATTTTTATACTAATTACATCATTGACTGCACTTGGGTTTGACTCGGTTCTAAAATTAAATGTTTTAATTATATATGTACTTCATATTTTAGAATTTGATTGAATTTAATAAATATTAAATTAAAATAAAAAAATCATTTTACATTAAAAAATAAAAATGTTGTTATATTGACAACACTTCTGACAAACTAAAAATGTACTTTATGCAAATAAATGGTAAATACAGCTATATCAAACAGATGGAGTGTCAACTCAAGACTAATCATTCATAAGTTTAAAAGGAAAATGTCTTTAATATTAGGGGTCCATTAGCAAAACTAAATACTTATATATATATATATTGTTGGCTTCAAGTAAGCAATGTGCTCAAATACTGGTGAACAAGGTGATAAATGTATGCATTGTTCTTTTTGCAGTAATCCAGTTCAGTAAGCTCACTTCGGCAGTTTTATACCAGTCTGAACCAGATCACAAAATCAACAACATGGACAATTCTACCCAACAGACCTTACAAAACAAAACCACAATGGATTAAGGCGTGAAAATGTCTTAAAGATATAACTATCTTGTTTCCTCATGAATTTATTGCCTGAGCAAGTGGGGCTTAAGACATTAATATTTATTAAGACATTAACTAATGGCTTTTCAAGAAAGTCCAAATTGCTACGGGGTACAGACCTGAACATTTTCTTTAAAAAAAAAATAATTAAATAAACCTTACATAAAAGCACAAATTAAACATATTGTTGTCTTTGGTTGGGGTACAGAAATATTAATCGGACAAAGTAAAATGATAGAGAAGTTACATATGCGTCAATGAAATACCCAAGTCTGAATGTCTGGAACAATGATGCTCTCCTCTCACGTCCCACCAGCAGCACTAGGTCCATCTAGTGCATGCTACCAGGAAAGCTCTGTGTTCCGGGTCAGACTGGTGCGGTGGACGTGCATGTGTGGGTTCCTCTAGGTTCTGCTTCAGATCCTGCTGGTCGGTCGGCAGCAGTAAGCACAGCTTCTGAGACTGTCCCGATCGGCACTGCCTCGACGGCCGTCCCCACTCGGGGAACCTAAACATTAAAGTTTATGTGAAAATGAACAGCAACAGGATCTTAGAAATATAAGTAATATTTAATAAATATTAGTAATATAAGAAATATATAAAATATTAGTTCAACTCTATTAACATATGTACTGACATATCGCTTGAGACTTACTGTTATAAAAATTATAATTAAACTTTTTTAGAGTACTAATTATGCACAATGCACATTTCATAATATTAAGCCTTAATGCCATTATTGAGGAGTATTGTACGATCTTTGAATAATATTGGTCTTTAAATGCAAGATATTTAAAGTGTACCTAAAGTATACTTGCAATAGTTCCACTTTAGCACAATCAAATATACTTCAGAATATCTTTAGTTGGACTTTAGTATAGTATACTAAAAGTACAATTGCAGCGTATTTTTATTACGTACATAAATATGTTAATGTATTTGTAGTATACTTGACATGAAATAAATGTATTTCAAATACATTTTAATAAAATACAAATTATTTATTTTTCAATAGGGTAGCAAAAAAAAAATGACTAAAACGAGAATTTAAATAAAATAAAGCTAAAAACAGAAATAAAAAAATGACGAAAGCACTTAAAACTTCTAAAAAATAACAGCTAATTAAAAATATTAATAAATACTAATATATAAAAACACATGGCAAATATTTTACTGTATATTAAAAGCTGTGAGGCACTCAGGGTTTTTTCTTCATGTTTATATATATATATATATATTAATATGTGTGTGTGTTTTGTGCCATATGAACATCAAAAGCATCAAAATTTTAATGGAACTATCAAATAATTTTAAAATAAGAAACATGCATTTGACAAATTTTTACAATAAAACATTACATTACAATAAAAATATATAAGAAATTTCCATTCATATGTTTAACAATAATTCTTTACAAAACGACTAAACGTTTTAAATAAATGAACAAACAAACAAACATTGAAATGATTGGAACCAGCCCGAAATCTAGACAGTCCAGTAAAAAATGCTTCAAACACATTACTTTACTCATTACCTTATCAGTTATCTTAAAATTAAATATTAGCTTTTACATTTAATACATACTGTGGTGCTTGCTATTTTTGTACAACAACAACAACAAAAAAAGTCAAATGAAATCCATCACAAACTCCTCATGCTCATGCTTTCTTAATGGGTTGTATGTACTAAAATTGGGACCTAATAATTCCTGCATTCTATTTAGGATGGATAGTATGTGACTTTCATTGGAGAATGTTCTCAGACATACTGTTCTCATCTTCCTCCTCGTCCTCGTCCTCCTCCTGGTCGAGCTCTTTGGCGGGCAGGAGCAGGTGTCTGTGGTAGGGGCTGGTGGGGGTGATTTGGCTCGGCCCCTCTAGGCTGGTGCTCAGCTGCAGTCTCCGCATGTGTCTGACCACTGCTGTCGCATTGAATGCTTGCTACGGGGATAAGAGCAAGAAATAACGTGATTATATTTTTATAATATAAAATATTATATGAATATGTTTACAAGCATCTTTGGGAACATTTCTGAGATTAATGAGAAAATCCTATAACAGTTCTAGAATGTCTCTCTCTTTCTCTCTCTCTCTCTCTCTCTCTCTCTCTCTCTCTATATATATATATCAGTGGCATGCGGTGGCGTTTTAAAATGAGGAAATGAGGTGTGGCATGCGTTAAAATGAGGAGGCAGTTATATATACTGTGTATATATATATATATATATATATATGTATTTATATATAAATATATAAGTCATGTCCTTGTTACACTTAAAGAGGTCATATGATGCTTTTTTAAAGATCATTATTTTGTGTATTTGGTGTAACAGAATATATTGACATGCTTTAATGTTCAAAAAACACATTATTTTTCAAATACTGTACATTATTGTAGGTCCTCTATGCCCCGCCTCTCTCAAACGCTTCGTTTTCTACAAAGCCCCCTCCTTTGACAAGCGCAGTCTGCTCTGATTGGCCAGCTGACCCAGTGCATTGTGATTGGCCGAACACCACAACCATGCGTCGGAAATGTAACGCCCCTTACCATAATCGCGAGCTTCATCTTTTAAAATAAATGCAAAGACAGAGCCCGAAGGGTGAACAAAGTCGCGTGACAGACACAGTGGTGAAGCTGGTATGTGTTTGCAGTACACAAGCCACGGTTAAGACAGCTGACTCCACTGTGATGTGCCAAAGAGAAAGGAAAACTTGAAATCGCATCATATGACCCCTTTAATGTTTACACTAAGTGCAAATAGCTAAAGATTCTATTTACACCTAGCAGGATTTTCGAGATGGTCCTCACTGCAGAACACAAGATCCAGGGGGCCAGGTTGGATCCAGATCCAACTCCTCCCACCTTACATATACCTAAACTTACCCGTCTCCACCCCTAAACCTACCATCTCCACCCCCGTGGATCCAACCCCGCCCCCTGGATCTTTGTTCTGCAGTGAGGGGCTACTGGGATTTTCTGCTATTTATACTACTTATTGCAGATAGTGGCAATTATCTGCACCTCAGTATTGTAGTACATAATAAAACAGTATGCAATAATAACAATAACAACAACGTGATATCTGATTTGAAAAAGTAGAAAAAAAAGTTTGACAAAACGCTATTCGAACCCCGGTCGATTGCATCAAAAACGACTTCCACACGTACTTCACCATCTGCGCTACACTCTTAAAAATAAAGGTGCTTCACGATGCCATAGCAGCCTATTTGCAAGTGCAAATAGACACGCCGTTTTTTATTTGTGAACTGATGTTCACCTGTTCTTTTTAATAGTCAACTTATTTTCGGGTCATCGTCATAAAAGCCCTGTAAACTTTGTCACAGGCACGAAGATACATCTTTCATTTCATCAAGCTGAATGCTCACTAAAATCTGACACAGTCATCACGTTTTCAAGTCATTTCATGTTTCATTTTGATGTGACACAAAGCAGTGATATCTAAGCAGGAGAGTTGTTTACTTACTTTATAATTAGTCAATAACGCCATCATTTTCTTCATTCAGGCCGAGAGCTCGCACGAAAACAAGAGGCGGGATTTATCACACGAACCAATCATAACCGATCATATCCAATTATAGCGCGACGGAGGCATTGCCTCCTCTCACGTGACTTTCCCCCATTCAACTCAATGAGCCTCCAGAAAAGTCACGGCACGCTTTAGGGTCTCTGTAGAAAGTCTATGGACCGAAGGGAGACAAGCCTCCGTTCTAACTTTATCTGCGGGAGTTGCTGTTGGACAGCGTTACTTTATAAAACCGAGTGACTTTTAGACTTTTAATGTCATATTTAGTCATATTTGCGTTGTTTTATTTTTGTAATATCGATTATTTTCTCATCCACTTTTGAGGAGAGGAGACACTGCCTCCCTTGCCTTCTCGGAGGAAACGCCCCTGACTGTAATTTATGTTCATTTAATTGCAATTATATATATATATGTGACCCTGGACCACAAAAGCAGTCATAAAGGTCCATTTTTCGAAATTGAGATGTATACATCATCTGAATGGTGAATAAATAAGCTTTCCACTGATGTATGGTTTGTTAGGATAGGACAATATTTGGTCGAGATACAACTATTTGAAATTCTGTAATCTGAGGTTGCCAAAAAAATCTAAATATTGAGAAAATCACCTTTAAAGTTGTCCAAATGAAGTTCTTAGCAATGCATATTACTAATCAAAAATTAAGTTCTAATACATTTACAGTAGGAAATTTACTAAATATCTTAATGGAACATGATCTTTACTTAATGTCCTAATGATTTTTGGCATAAAAGAAAAATTAATAATTTTGAACCATACAATGTATTTTTGGCTATTGCTACAAATATACCCCAGCGACTTAAGACTGGTTTTGTGCTCCAGGGTCACATATGTATATATATATATACAGTGGGGAAAAAAAGTATTTAGTCAGCCACCAATTGTGCCAGTTCTCCCACTTAAAAAGATGAGAGAGGCCTGTAATTTTCATCATAGGTATACCTCAACTATGAGAGACAAAATGAGAAAAAAAATCCAGAAAATCACATTGTAGGATTTTTAAAGAATTTATTTGCAAATTATGGTGGAAAATAAGTATTTGGTCAATAACAAAATTTCATCTCAATACTTTGTTATATACCCTTTGTTGGCAATGACAGAGGTCAAACGTTTTCTGTAAGTCTTCACAAGGTTTTCACACACTGTTGCTGGTATTTTGGCCCATTCCTCCATCCAGATCTCCTCTAGAGCAGTAATGTTGTGGGGCTGTCGCTGGGCAACACGGATTTTCAACTCCCGCCAAAGATTTTCTATGGGGTTGAGATCGGGAGACTGGCTAGGCCACTCCAGTCCCTTGAAATGCTTCTTACGAAGCCACTCCTTCATTGCCCGGGCGGTGTGTTTGGGATCATTGTCATGCTGAAAGACCCAGCCACGTTTCATCTTCAATGCCCTTGCTGATGGAAGGAGGTTTTCACTCAAAATCTCACGATACATGGCCCCATTCATTCTTTCGTTTACACAGATCAGTCGTCCTGGTCCCTTTGCAGAAAAACAGCCCCAAAGCATGATATTTCCACCCCCATGCTTCACAGTAGGTATGGTGTTCTTTGGATGCAACTCAGCATTCTTTCTCCTCCAAACACGACAAGTTGAGTTTTTACCAAAAAGTTCTATTTTGGTTTCATCTGACCATATGACATTCTCCCAATCCTCTTCTGGATCATCCAAATGCTCTCTAGCAAACTTCAGACAGGCCTGGACATGTACTGGCTTAAGCAGGGGGACACATCTGGCACTGCAGGATTTGAGTCCCTGGCAGCGCAGTGTGTTACTGATGGTAGCCTTTGTTACTTTGGTCCCAGCTCTCTGCAGGTCATTCACTAGGTCCCCCCGTGTGGTTCTGGGATTTTTGCTCACAGTTCTTGTGATCATTTTGACCCCACAGGGTGAGATCTATATATATATATATAGCAAGTTGTTCTTGACAGACCAAGTAAGCCATATTTGAAGAACGTCATGCAGATCTGTTGGGCTGGAAATGCAAAATGTGGATGATGTAGTGGGATTCTCACCTTCCATTTACTTTTAGCAAAGTTCTTCTTGATCTGAGCACTGACAGACTCATGAATGTTCCTGTCGAGAGCCGTGTCTCCAGAAATCCTTCAAAATCAGAGATGGGGGACGAGTTAATAATACAATTTTGGTGAAAAGAGGAAAAGGATATTATGATCATAGATAAAGTTAAAAAATAACACTTATTTTTAGGTAATCCTACCATGGGTGCTGTAAAGCCTGCTCACATGTGTATCTCAGAGACGGCTCTTTCTCCATCAAGTGACTGATGAAATCCTTGGCTAGGATGGGATGTGATCAACAATACGTTTGTCAAACAATATTCAAGAAAATAGAAATGCCCAGGATAGAGCTCATCAGTAGTTTTGAGAAGGTTTTTTATTCACTGTCTGCACTCCTCTTTGCAGACAAGTCACATTATATAAAAATGAACTCAACTCAACGTTGTTATATCACTAATAGTATTTTTATTTTTAAAAACCTACAGTTGAGCTCAACAGGTGCGATCTTTTGTATCAAGAACATCTCAAAATGATCTACCTGAGTCAGAGATGTCGTCCCAGTATGGAGAGTCAAACTCATACTCTGCTTTGAGAATCTGCTCGAATAGCTTGGCATCATTTTCATCGTAAAACGGAGGGTAGCCACATAAGCTGCAAAAGACATAGCTTTGTAATAACAACCAACTGACTTAATTATCCCTCTTATTATTTGGTTCAATGAACAAACAAATAAATAAAATATTGATTTAGATTGAAATATTGATTTATATTTACTCATTTTAAATATCGGACTATAATTTGGAATGAATAATACATACAAAAATTAATTCCTATAAGAATTGACCATAAACAAACAAATAGTATAACAAAAATGAAAAATAAAAATATCAGAATTGACCATAAATAAAAAAAAAAATACTATAAAAATTGACAAACAATAAATAAATATTCACAAACCAAATATTTGATAAGACAAATGAATGAATATGAAATATTGATTTATATTTACTAATTTTACATATCTGACTATAATTTGGAATGAATACTTAAAAAAATGTATTCCAATAAGAATTAACCATAAACAAACAAACAAACAAATAATATAACAAAAATGAAAAATAAAAATAATATCCGAATTGACCATAAATAAAAAATAATTTATAAAATCCTACAAAAATTGACAAACAATAAATAAACAAATAAATATGCACAAACCAAATATTTGATATGACAAATAAATTAATGAATGTGAAATATTGATTTAGATTTACTCATTTTAAATATCTGACTATAATTTGGAATGAATAATACATAAAAAATTAATTTCCATAAGAATTGACCATAAACAAACAAACAAATAATGTAACAAAAATGAAAAATAAAAATAATATCCGAATTGACCATAAATAAATAAAAAGAAAATTAAATTCCTATAAAAATTGACAAACAATAAATAAATATTCACAAACCAAACATTTGATAAGACAAATGAATGAATATGAAATATTGATTTAGATTTACTCATTTTAAATATCTGACTATAATTTGGAATGAATACATAAAAAATTTATTCCAATAAGAATTGACCATAAACAAACAAATAATAAATGAATGAATATGAAATATTGATTTAGATTGAAATATTGATTTATATTTACTAATTTTAAATATCTGACTATAATTTGGAATGAATAATACATAAAAAATGAATTTCTATAAGAATTGACCATAAACAAACAAACAAATAATACAACAAAAGTGACCATGAATAAATAATAATTGTAAAAAATCCTATAAAGATTGACAAACAATAAATAAATAAATATGCACAAACCAAATATTTAATATGACAAATCAATAAATGAATATTAAATATTGATTAAGATTGAAATATTGATTTCTGTTGATTCATTATAAATATATCAATAAATATGGATTGACCATAAATAAAATCAGATCAAATAAATACATTCCTAAAAAATGTACAATGAATAAATAAATAAATATTTAAAATAAATATGCACAATTTGAGATATGACAGATGCAGATCAAGGACAACTTACAGAATATAAGAAATCACTCCTATGGACCAACAGTCTACAGCTTTACTGTATGGTTTTTGTGCCAAGACCTCTGGAGCTGATTGAGAGAGCGAGAGAGAGAGAAGCTTTCAGTGTTCCTTTTTTCTGTTTAGTTCTCTTTCCTTTTGAGCTTTGTAGAGAATGAGGGCAGCATCAAAGAGACACTTTAAAGAAGCTAACACTTGACACTGTGCAGCATTTCAAACAACTGAGAGCCTCTAAAAACCGACACATTACTGACCTTACTAAAGATGGTAAGATATAGATTGAAAAAGGCAGAAAACAAAATAGCCCTCACTCGTACCTACGTATCCAGGTGTTCCACAGGCAGTTGACATCACACTTCCTGAGTCCTCGATCTTAGACAGGCCAAAGTCACTGATCATGATATTGGAGTCCTCCTCCATACTGTAGTACAACAGATTCTCTGGCTGCACAGAAAGAGAATGAATTCATATCAGCTGAACGTCATTTCCCCTCAGTCACATTAAATCAAGTCATATCTTGCTACATTTAATGGACAGCCATTGGTGAACTTTTTTCATACTGTATGTGTAACACCATGTTGTAATCAGATGTGACAAATGTTTTTCTCATGACAATCCATGACAAATAGCATGCAACAGGGCATTTTATTGGTCACTTGAGCTATGTCTGGAATAGAATACTACTATAAAACTCTTACTATTTTTATAAAAGTCCAAAATGTGCGATATACACCGACATTCAAAAGTTTGGGGTCAGTACAATTTTTTAAAAAGATATTAATACTTCAGCAAGGATGCATTAAATCGATCAAAAGTGACAGTAAAGACATTTCAAATGTCACAAAAGTTTTCTATTTAAAAAAAAAATGCTGTTCTTTTGAAATTTAGATTTATCAAATAATCCTGAATTGAAAAATGTATCACGGTTTCCGCAAAAATATTAAGAGAAACAACTATTTTCAACATTAAAGTCTGTGCAAAGCAATATTAAATATGTGTTCTGAGTTTAGCACACCACAGAAAAATGTGTTATTAACCACCCAGCCAAATTTGAAAAAAAATATTAGAAAAATAGGCATTAGTATAATTTAAAAAAAACAGTGTAACTCTGAACAGCTTTAAAAGTTAATGCACTAGCGTTTTTGTACATCACTTCAAAAAAGGTGATTTTTACCCTTCAGTGGTAATTCAACCCTGATTGTTGTGTAACAGGAAGTAAACAGTGCTGACACCTTTTCCAGAGTATTTTTCTTTTTGTGTGTGTTGTTTGTGCAACAGAAATATTGTGAACAGCTGAGATTTTATCAGACTCGTCTGGTGGGGAAAGATGAAACAGTGTGCTGTAAGTCTGCATCCTCCAAAGGGACACAGGTAGAGCCAGAAAAAGACAAACAGCACAAGCTGTTTAATCATCCAAGGACTGTTTCCATGTGTTTAGGCATCTGGGTGTGTGTTTGTCCTATTTCGAGCATCCTTTCAGGTTTTTACAGGATTGTAGCCCAAACATTCATTCTTGTTCTCTTCCTTAAACACAAAGCCTGTGTGTTAAAACGAGCACTGTCATGTATAATCTAGCTGTCCCAAACACACACTCCCTAAACTGCCTTCTTAATCACAGAGGGAGCAATTAAACATACAATTTGCCACTAAGGAAAAGAGAAATAAACAAGTCAGAGAATAAATTACAGTAGAGGAAATGTATTTTCCTCTCTTCCAAGACTAAATTTCATATAGTATTAAAATGCTAATTATCATTTCAAACATTTCATTCTTGTCTCGAACTATTCAAAAATAACATCTAAATGTGAATACAGATACCCAACTAACAAAAATATGTTCTAAGAACATTTTGTACCCATTAAGCTATGGAAACGTTATTTCTGAGGTTCTTTGTACATTCAAAACATCCTATTTTTTTTAAACGTTTTTTTCTTGGTTGACTGAATGTTAAAGGAATATTCAATTATATCATTTCCCAAACATCATTGGAATATTACTGTTAAACGTTCTCTGAACGTTCTGAAATGAGTAGTAACATTAAAAAATTGAAAGACAAACATCAAAATGAAACATTTCAGGAAAAAAGTTTCATGAATGATGCATAAATAACGTTTTTGTTGTAATCTTCTGAGAACATTATAACTTTGAATGACATTCTAATCACGTTCCTGGAAGAAAGTTTGTTCTTAACTTTGAGAGAACCTTTAAAAACATTTGAATATTCAAATTTGACTTAATATTTAAAACTCTTTCAAAATATGTGTAAAACATATATAATGAAGAAAAGCAAGTGAACATGCAAGGGCATTTTGAGAATAACAGGAAATTTGGGCTCAGCAATTATGTGTTGTGTACAGTTTTTTTAAATCACAGAAGGCAGTTTTATATATATATATATATATTCTTGCAAGCGTGTCTGTTTGCATGAGGATGATTTCAATTAAAAGGACCTTATGATATGTTGTTGTTGAGATAATAATAATAATAAAACAGAAATCTCCAATGGCCTGGAAGCCATGCTAGTGAGTCATGATCACATCAGTGTTGTTTAGTGAGAGAGAACAGCTCATAAAGCGCTGCAGTTAACAAACTTTCTACTGGACTCGTATCACAGACTTATCAGACTGCATGCCTTAAGTGGAAAGGGGGAAGTTCGGGGGCAAAATGGAGGTTGGGAAGAAAAAAATGAAGGAAAGAAAGAGCGAGTGAGAGGAAATGAAGAGAGCGAGAGCTGTGCTGTTGCCGTGAGACATGGTGTAATTAAGGCCTCCCATGGCTTCCTGTGGGTAAAGGAGGAGGAAGAGAGGCGAGAGAATGGAGATTAGGAAATGATACAAGACAGCCATGTGGGTGTTTGGGTCTGTAAATAAGAAAATTGTTTCGCAGAGACATATTACAAGGCCAATCATTTCCCAACAGCAGCTCTGTGCACTAAAATAGATTAACAAAATGCTCATGGTGTAAAGTGTTTCTCTAGTGAGGGGTTCAGAATCATATAGAGACTAAATAGTTTATGTGTCAATAAAAAGTGAAAACAACATCACTGAAAGGAAAAATTACAAACATACATTCATACTAGTTATATACATTAATGTTTATATTACATTACACTGTTTATGTTGCATAAAATGTTTAAATGTCCTACAACGGTGCTGAGAGATTCTTACTGGTCTCTGAAAGCATTATTAGATTAGCTAAAAATATTCCAATTTTACCTAATATTTATTTCAAACTCTTTCAAAATATGTACAAAAACATGAGGAGGGACAATAAATAAACATGCAAGTGTATTTTGAGAATGATAGGAAATGTGGGCCTAGTCATTATATGTAAATTTTCTGATATCATAAAAGATCAAGTATTTTAAAAATATTTTTTGCTGTTGCATTATACTTACTGTTAATTCACTGTTTTAATAACTATAAAAATATAAGTAATTTAACTCTAATTTTATTAATAAAAGCTGAAGATTCTCTCTCTCCACACACACACACACACACACACACACACTTATTTTAGAATGTCAAGTAGAGTTAATCAAGTAATACTGACGCTGCATTTCATTTAACCAATGTACCTGACCTGGAAAATAATCTGTAAAGCAATAATCCAATCATTTCAAAGATTTAGTGCCGGAACACTAGACATCTCTCATTATTAATTTAACTGCTGAAAAAACTCAACTTTTTATCTATTATGCTTTCATCTGTCACAATGAATTATCAGTTTAATTTTTTACATTAAATTTATATAAAAAAAAAAATTCTCAGCAAATATTGATAAAATTGATTGATATCCCTTGTAAAAAAGCCATTTAAAAACCTGCTCTGAATCACACAGACTCACTCTAACAAGCTGTGATTAATAATTGAATAAAAATGCAGCACGAGTGGCCCTGATTTCTTTTTTTATGGATGTCTTTTAAAAGGCTAGGTTGTTTGGGCAGCTTTTTCTGTACTTTTAGACTCACTTAGAAAACCGTATCGATTTGGTCATTACTACTGACTGAAAAAAAACTTACATCATAACAACCTGACAAAAATCGCCAAATAAAACTGGTCAACTAAGCGTAGTCAACACAAATTCTTCTTTCAAAACACCTTTCTCATTTTGTTTAGGAAGGTTGGGAGTTTAAATCAACAAAAGAAGCTTCCAGACAAAAACAGCTTAGAAGGCTCATTCATCTTACTTCTGTGACACTCGCATAAACATAAACTTTCCTCTAAAAATAAAATATCCTGTCACCATAGCGACCAGTGCACGTTGACCTCTTCTGCCCACTTTGTAAATAAGATGAACACTGAATGACTAAACCAAAAACAAAACAGTAAAGTCAAAATGATGTTTGAATTCTGATTTGAAAGGGCACAAATATAAACAGTCCATTTTGTTTCCTAAATATCACCGTTTTCAAACAGCAACACTAAAAAATACTGAAAAACAATCACAATTTTCAAATACTAACCTCATGTCTTACAAAAAACAGACCTTCTTCTATTTACAGAAACAAGATAAGCAAACTTATTTGTATATATTAGTTAGCGTAATGACTTAAGCACTTACATAACATTTCATAACAAAGTCTCCAAAGTACCACCCATTCCACATTATGCTAACAGCCATGTACTTTTGTATAAACTGTATAAATTGCAATATGGAAAATAAGCAGAATGGATAATGCTTACAGTCGCGAATAACTGTTAGCACAACTCTTATCTCTTTTTAGAGCTACTTACTCAAACATTAGATACAGTCTCTCGATATACTGTGGCAAATCCTACACAGTTTGCTAAAATTAAAAGCTCCCTAGTGTCCAATGTGTCTCACCACCGCCCAATGAAGATGAAGTGTCCAATTGTGAACCGTTTTTAATCAAAATCCAGGTCCGCAGCTAGATAAGCCAGAGCAGATACAATTTCCCAAGAATAAATCAATTGACTCCACTCACAGAATTCACGGATAAACCAATTCCATAATCTACTTTAGAAAAGAGGCTTTCTGTCAACATATACAGTTAAATACTCTGTACAACGCCTTACTGGCAAACTAGTCAAAAACGCATCACACTGTGAAAACAAAGCTACACTCTAAAAAATGCTGGGTTAAAAAGGGACAAACCCAGCTATTGTTTTTTTTTGACCCAGCAGTTCGGTTGTGTTGACCCAGCGGTTGGGTTGTTTTGAGTCAAAACAACCCAACCGCTGGGTTTGTCCCTTTTTAACCCAGCGCTGGGTTATATTTAACCCAGCATTTTTTAGAGTGTAGGTTACAGATTTGCCTATGCAGAGAAACCGTTCCATTTTCTGTCTATAGTTGCATTCATGTGAGATGAATCATGCAGAACAGACAAAGGGCACTTTTTGATTTATGACCAGTATGTGGTCTGCGAGTACAGAATGACAGAAATCTTTTGAGCCATCCTTCTAAAGATTAGCAGGCTGACGTTTCCCATAATATTTACAGATT